AAGAAAATTTTCGCTGTGCATCCAGAAAACTGCAAAAAATTCTAATCATACCGTCAAAAAAAAAAAGAAAAAATCTCAAAAAGATGCTTTTACGGAGACTCTAGCTATGTCTTTCGATTAACATTTTTTCCGAGGTAGTGGCTAACCAAAAATTTTCAGTGAATAAATTCCAAGAATGATTTGGAGAGGGAAAAAAACGAACACTGAGGCGGTGGCGGTCCACCAATTGCTGACATAACATTGGGCATCTGATGGTTCATACTGGGCAACGAATTCTGCATAGCGTTCGGATCAAATTGTGTGTTTTCCACTCGCGATATTGTTCGTTCATCTTCCTCACCATATTCACCGCCCATCATAGACGGCTCGCCCACCACCATAACATCCTGATATTGGATCGGGAACTGCAATCAACCAATGAAAAAACTGGACGCTTCTACAAAAAATTATTCATAAAAAAGCCAAAAAATATAAAAATGATTTTTGTTCAATTACTCTTAAAAAAGAAAAAGGCCTGCAGAACGAAACAACAATGACGTTTGCTTATGAAAGAATTCTTCAAATTTTTACACGCAGTGAAGTACTTTTCCCAATAAAATCAAAGCAACAGGACCATTCCTTCTCACGGCATCATTAACTGCCACGCAACTTCCAGTGCAAAGCAAGTGAACCGCCCGCCCAGAGAACTTTGTTTACTATTTTGCTGTTGCCAAATCCAGCGCATCAGTCAAATTTTTCATTTTGCAAACTTTCAGAATGATGAGCCAGTCATCCGCTACGAAAAAGGGGAACGGAAAAGACACGATGTCGGAAAAGTCCCACTGCAGAATCCAGCGAACAAAAGAATGCACAATCTGCTTAGTCTCGGTGGAACATAACGCTATTCGGCGTGACCAGCGATACTGACCACAAAAGAGAGATGTCGGGACAGCAGTGGGAGACAGAACTAATGAACAGGAGAAGTCCTAACAGTTACTCGCAAAACCAAAACTGACATGCGAATTCATTGGAAAATTAGCAGCATTGGTCGCAGGTGGTGAATTATTTTTCTTTTTTGCATTAGATGTCGTGCCAGCACCAGCAGCAGTTTTCCTCGTTCTTTTACGAGGCTTCTTCGAGGTCGGCTCTTCCACTGGTGTTGGCGGTAACACATGTGACGGATTCAACCCACCTGAAAATTATGATAACCACATGAAAATTAACAGTCTCAAAACAACAAACTCAGAAAAAACGAAAAGTCACGGCCGATCTAAAGGTAATCAAAACTGGCCGAAATCGCAA